GGGAGGAAATCCTGTCACGTGCCACAATACAGGTGAGCCTTGAGGACACTATGCCCCAAGTGCAATAAGCCAGTCACAAAAAAACAAGTACTGTATGATTCCACTATGTGAGGTACCTGGAGTCAAATTCATAGAAACAGAAAGCAGAAGGGTGGTTGCCGGGGCCGGGGCGGGGGGAGTGGGAAGCTGTTTAATGGGTATAGAGTTTCAGTTTTGCAAGATGAAAAGAGTTCTGGAAATTAATTACACAACAGTGTGAATGTACTTAACGCTACTGAACTGCACAGTTAAAAAATGGTGAAAATGGTTAACTTTATGCTATGTGTATTTTACCACAATTTTTTTTAAATAATAGAGGACAGACTCTTAATACACTATTTGAAACTATTAGGACATCAACTCACTACTGTAAAAACTGTTAACTAAGGGAAATAAATTAAGTATATATCCCATTTTCCAACATAAACTATATTTCAAAGTAACCAAATAGTGCTCATCGAAGAAGGAAAGATATTTTACACAGAACTCCAGCTAATAACTGAGAAAGAAATTATAAAATTACAAAACACCCTTCTTCAACTCTTAATAAAATTACTGATTCAAGGAGCAATTATTAATGAATATTAAAATAATTAGGTAAAAGATAGGGAACTTTACAACGAAGGGATCAGAACATCCCCACCTAAACATACCGATCATGCTTAGTATCATTAAAACTGAGACAATCTGGGACGCCTGATTGGCTCAGCCAGTTAAACGCCTGCCTTCGGCTCGGGTCATGATCCCAGGGTCCTGGGATGGAGTCCCACATCGGGCTCCCTGCTCTCCCTCTGCCTGCCACTCCCCCTGCTTGTGCTCTGTGTTAAATAAATAAATAAATAATCTTAAAAAAAAAAAAAAAAAAAAAAACAATCAAGGACTCTATGCCTCCGTGAAGTCATGAAATATGAAGAACATGATATTCCCCCCTGGCAAAACTGCCTACTTCTAGTCTTTATTGCCAATTTCTGGTCGACAGATAAAATACAGGGTATTGAAGAATGAATTAATTGTATAAGGAAGCATCAGTCAAACCCATAATTATCCTGGAAAATTCTCAGGATGCATGAACCAGTGTCTTCAACAAATCAATGCTATGAAAAACAAAGTGGAGGACCTGGTGGGGCAGAGTGGGGAGTGGTACTGTTATAGACTGAGAAATTTAAAAGACAAAAACAAATGCTAACATGTGGTCCATATTTGGATCCTGATTCAAAACAAGCCCAACTATAAAAAGATCATTTTTGACATGAAAGGAAAACTTGTATATGGACTTGTATTAGATAACATTAAGCAAGTGTTCCTTTTGTTGGATGTGACAAGGACATTATAGTTAAATAAAAGCGTTAAGACCAAGAAGAAACTGTGCTGACAACATCCCAACAAGGTGGCTGGGGATGCAGGAAGGGCCCCCCTCCAGCCCCTGCAGGGGTAGGGGTATCCAGTACAGGGGAGAAGTCGGAAGGCCTGCACGTGCTCCCCTGCAGTCCCTACGCCAACTAGAGTGAAGCCCAGCCCGGCTCCATCCATCTACACCCTTCCCCGCATATGGCCTGAAGCCTGGGTACTGTCTCAGGAAACTCAAGTCCACCAGCCAGCAAGGTTAGGTTTTGACCCCAGACCTCAAACCTTGTCCTTTCCCTGCGACTCTGAGACCACATTTGTCGGCAGGAAATTTTGTGAGGGATCTGCACTGGGCTGAGAGAAGCCTGACAGCCTTCCTGGGTCCCCTCTCCCTTTCCTGTCTGGGGGCCCAGCTCCCACTAGAGGAGAAGATGCAGGATGGGGGGGGGTGTCAGCCGAGGATCCTACACCCCAACCTCTGAGGGCTCAGATTTTAGAAGGCAGGTGAGGAACAGTGGAAAAACACCAAGCATGAGACCTCTGCTGACAATGGTTCTGACCACATGACCTAGAAGAAGTGGTCAGCTATGTGGGGACAGCTAATGCAGGGGACAGCAAGAAGACTGAAGCCCCAGAGCAAAGGGCCAGGGTCGCCACACTCCATCTGACTCATAAGAAACACAATGCAAACTGAGCAGAGAAGGCGAAGATGGGAGGGGACAGTGAGCCTACAGCTCCTCACAGAAGGACCACAAGCCACCAAACTCCACCTCGTGTCTCCACCCCAACACTCCCCAGGCTCCACAACTCCCCTCCTCAAGTGCACTCTGCACTTTCCCGCACCTCTGTTCCCTATACCTGGAACACCCTCCCCCCTCCCCCAACTTTTCTTGCAGGTCCAACTCAAATGTCCCAGCCACTGGGCACCTGCCCTCCGCCCCGAGTCACGGTGAGGTAGTCCCTCCAAGGCACTCTGTGCAACCACGTCTACAAGCCTTTCAGCCCCAAACTTAGTCTGCCTCACCCTGTAGCAGGAGAGTGGTAAGCCCTGCCCCGGCTGAGCCCCGCGCACCCCTGGGCCCAACAAGGGAGCCTCCCTCCACACCGCGCGCACTCGGGACACTGGTGCAAAGCTCCTCAGCCACAGACAGGTATGCAGGCCCCTGCTGCACTAAAGTAAAAAGCTGCTTTGCTTTCCTCCCAGGCCTCTGCAGCCCCGGCTTAGGGAGGTTCAGGGAGGGGGCGCGCCTTGTCTGGGATGTGAAGAGAGTCACCTGGAGGAGGAAGGAGAGAACCTTCTGGAGGCATGTCTGGAGGCCTACTTTCACAGGACCTGGCGAGTACAGACAGCCACCGACACGGAGGGAGCCAAAGGGTCTGTTCAGCACAGACTGTCTTCAAAAAAAAACAAAAACCAATCTCATCAGCGTAACCAAGAATCGGAACAAGCAGAGAAGCGTGGCTGCCTTCCTAGAGTGGCGGGAAGGCAGACGAGAGAGGCCCCCAAAGCCTCTGCCATGGCCTGCAGGCCTGTCTGCTCTCCTTCCGCAGCCCTGCCTTGGCCCTACCGCAGTCTCCCCGCGGGGAACAACGCCGTACACACCCGGTTCTGAGAGCACACACTGAAGCGCGGGGCGGTGACGCACCTACCTCAGCCCCCCCCAGTTCTCCGGGCGCGTGCGAAGCCCGTGCTGGAGCCTCCCGGAGACCAGGGTGCGGCCCAGCAGAGACCAGCCCAGGCCGGACAGGGGGCCCCGCCCGCCCAGTAGCGGAACGTGGGGCGTGGCCACAGGCACGGGGCGGCGCGGACATCTTCAGAGCCGCCCCCGAGTGGCGAGTGGCGGGGTGGGGGGCAGGACCCTTTCCCCAGTAAACACCAAGCACGCCGCATTCCCGCATTCCGGAGCGTCACTAACCATCAAGCCAGGCGTCTTCTTCTAAGACTCATTAGACGCCCCCGCATCAGGGAGCTTTTTCTCCATGCCCAATCATGGAGCTGGCGCAAACCCGGGGGCTGACAGCCATCGCAGGAAGGGTCTGCTTACCAGCCCCTCGGTTTCCTCCGCCGTCCTCTGGAAATGGGCAGCCATAGCCATGTAGTCGCGTATCTGCCTGTGACATTCGAGACACTTGATTCCGTGCCGGATCAGCCTCACGGGGTCCGGGTAGAGCGGCAAGGCCGGGAGGGTTGGGCTGGCAGTGGCCGCAGTGAGGCCGGGCTTGGGGGAGGCGGGGGGCGCCGGGGCCGCTGGTGCCGGGGAGCTGGCGGGGGCCGACACAAACATCTGGTCCACGGAGATGGGCTTCACGAGCAGCTGCGAGCACTGCATGACCAGCCCCTTGCTCTTGTGGTCGCGGGCGTGCCGGAGCAGGCTGCACTTGTTGAAGAAGAGCAGCGTCTGCGAGCACAGCGTGCACAGCACCTCGATGTGGACGCTCCGCCGGCCGTAGTGCTGACTCAGGCTCTTCTCTAAGGCAAACGCGTCCCCGCACTCCAGGCAGCAGTAGCCACTGGCCGGCACGTGGATCCTGCTGTCGGCGGGGGGGCTGAGATTTGGCGCGTAGAGGGGCACGGGGTTGGAGCTGTGGAGGACCTTGTTGAAGACCTCCACCACCAGCGGGGCGGCCTTCCTCACCTGGTGGACCAGGGGAACCGACATCTGCGGGAGCTGCGGCTGGCTCCGCCGCTGCGCCGAGGACTTGGCCGTCACGGACGCGGCGACGCTGTGCGGGACGAGGTTCAGGTTGGCCAGGTGCACGGCCTTGGGCAGGAGGGTGGCAGGGGCCGGGGCGGACGCCTGCAGCGCCGTGCTCTGCTGTTGCTTCTTGCCGCTCTGCGCGCCAGGGGCAGCCCCCTTTGGGCCCCGGAGCCCGGAGCTGCCGCACGGAGACGCCGCTTCACCGGTCTTCGGGGTGCCCTCATCCCCTTTCTTGTCACCCTGGGGGCTCCCGGAACTTGTGCCCACCTCCGGAGAGGGCGCCACAGCCGGCAGGGCGGCGCCCTCGTCCTCCGGCGCCTCGCTGGGGGCCTCGGCAACGGCACTCCCCAGAGGTGACCCAACGGGGGACTTACTGGGATCGTCAGGGTCCGGCAGGATCCTCGTGACCGTCCGTTTGATTTCCCCCGAGGACGTCTTAATGGTTTTGATTCTGACTTTGGGGATTGCTGGTGGGGAGCTGGCAGCCACTGAAGGGGAGCTTTTACTACTGCTATCACTGCAGATGCTCCGAGGGCTGTCCGATGGCTTGACGTTCTTTCTGGTGGCCTCCAGGGGGCTCCGGGGACTCTTTGGTGACTTGGGCATTTTGGGGCTACCTTTGGAGCCCTCTTTAGTGGGCCCCGAGGGGTCCTTTGCATGGCCGGGTTGATCCTCCTTGGTGACGCTGGCCACTCTTTTGGCCTGCAGGGCCACCAAGGCTGCAACACAAGAGGAAAGCTTGGAGTGAGCTGGCTTCAGGCGCTGCCTGGGGGGGACTGACGAGCAAGCGCCAAGTTCCAGGGCAAGCCCCTTCGGCTCTCCAATACTGTTGCTGGGGTGGCTGTTGAATTCCAAAGCTTCCCCAAAGAATCGACTGGCATCCAGCTCCTTGTGAGGCTCCCCCACCTTCTGCCCACCTCGCTCATGTTCCTGTTGACTCCCCAAGGGCAGAGGTTCCGGCTTGGGCTCCTTCTTACAGAAGTGATCAAACATATGGAGCTCTGGGACCGGAAACTTAGCCAGAGCCTCCAGGACTGGGCCCCCCACAGGCCCACACCCAGGAGGGGGTGGAAAATAACTGTCAGAGTGCTTGGGCTTCATTCCAAACCCATTATCTTTGATGGCATCCTCAGGTTCTGGGCTGGAGATTGGACTGAACTGGTTAAAGGTCGGTAACGGCTCTGACTTGGAAGGTTCTAGCTTGCCAGGGAAACTCCTGGCACTGTCTCCGTTCATGAAAGTGGAATCAAACTTCCCACAGTTGTGGCCCAGGTTGTGGGGATCTGGAGGCAGGTCCGAGCCCCGGAATCCATTGTGTAGGAGGCTGGGAGCAATGTGGTCTTTCTCCGCTTCAAACGACTCCTGGCGGCTGGTGTTCTTGACAATGACACTCACGGCCGGTACGTCTGAGGATGATCCTGAGTGAGACAAGGACACACTCTCATCCATGCACATGCCTGGAGGTTTGAGGGGACTCTCATTCTCCTCACTGGGGGTCTGGATGGCCTCCTTGGCATCGAGGCTAGTGGGGTCTGGGATGTCAAAGGCAGCCAGAAGGTCATCAAAATCTGGAGTTTTCATATCCCCCATGGCTGGATGCTGGCAAGGGCTACAACAGAAACAGAACAGAATCAGTGATCCCCAGGATCCCACTGGACTCCGTCCAGCACCATCTTCATCACACTAACACACACGCACACAGCCAGGATGCACATACATGAACCCCCCCAGACTCTGGGAAGTCACACACCTGACTTTTACCCCAACAGGTTTCCAAAATGCTGGGGACATTGGGGGAGGGGTGGAAAGAGAAGTTTATATGCAGTGACAAGACCGCCTGGCCAGTCCTAAACATCAGTACCTGGAAATTCCTAGCTGGTTGCATGGCCAAAAAGAGAGAGCACTCATATCACACTCCCTCAATTTCTCAGGGACTATCAACACTCCCTAATCACATGTACTAGCAAAAAACCAATCACTGAGAGCTTCAAAAAAACAAAAACAAAAACAAAAAACAAGCATGGCTCAGCACCTCTTTTCTTCGGAAAACTTCTGATTCAAAGATGAGACGTGGCTATAAATTCTGCTAATTTAACTCCTAGTATTTAATCATTAACTTTGTAATTTTGGTTTTTTGCTGGATGAATTCAACCAAATCCAAGATGATTTGCTATTACCAGGATTTATGCTAACTGTCTCATAAATAAACTCCAGCAAATTATATCATCTCCTAGGCCTTTTTTTCCCTCTAGTCAGTGTCTGCTTGATTCCTTCATTTTCACCTAAAACTGTTACTGGCTGGCGAATGGATCACTCAATGTGAGGGGCAGAGCAACTCTAAAAGCCCCACATGGTTATCAAATGGGCCAGGGAACAGCGTCAGGGAAACCCCAAATTTTATTTTAACTTAATAGACAAAGAAAAGAAAACCCAGCTGTTTCCTTCATGCTCTGGAGAAGGAGAACAACGGCACTACGGTGACAGAGGAAAGCCAAGGTCCTAGGAAAGAGGCCTCCCATCAGGAAATCACTGTAACGCTCAGCTAGCTGGCTCCAACCTGCTGGAAAGAGGAAGAAAAATCCCACCACCTCCCTTGTTCAGCCACGAATCCTCCATCTGCTTCAGCATCCCAAAGCCTCACTTGCTTGCATATTTCTTGCCCTACACTTATACTGAAAACCTGTCTGGGTGCAGAATGACACTACCCTTTCAGAAAGCAGTACAGTGGCCCCACAGAACCAGACATGTGGCAAATCCTCAGGGCCAGGAACCCCAAGGCCAATGTTCTTATCCTAAGAACAAAAACCCCCAAAAGCTATACACAAAAGTATACAGCATTATTAAAACAACACAAAAGAGGAGCGCCTGGGTGGCTCAGTCGTTAAATGTCTGCCTTCGGCTCAGGTCATGATCCCAGGGTCCTGGGATCGAGCCCCGCATCGGGCTCCCTGCTCCGCGGGAAGCCTGCTTCTCCCTCTCCCACTCCCCCTGCTTGTGTTCCCTCTCTCGCTGTGTCTCTCTGTGTCAAATAAATAAATAAAATCTCTAAACAAAACAGAACAAAACAACAACAACACAAAAGAGAGAGACAAACACACACAGAGAATCTAAATGTCCAAGAACAGGAAATAATTAAATAATTGATAGACTATTAGGAGGCCATTAAAAATCCTAATTATGACATTTACACAGCAACATGGAAACTCACTTACAGTGCTAAGGCACCTGGCTGGCTGTCAGCAGAGCACGCAACTCTTGCTCTCAACTCTTGTGAGTTCCAGCCCCATGCTGGGGTAGAGTTTACTTAAAAATAAAAAAACTTTTTTTAATAATTTCCTTTTTTTAAAAAGATTTTATTTACTTATTTGAGAGACAGGGAGAGAGATAACACGAGCAGGGGGAAGGGAGAGGCAGAGGGAGAAGCAGACTCCCCGCGGGGCAGGGAGCCCGATGTGGGACGCGATCCCAGGACCCTGGGATCATGACCTGAGCCGAAGGCAGACGCTTAAAGACTGAGCCACCCAGGCGCCCCCAAAATTAAAAATCTTAAAAAAAAATCACTTATAGTGTTTAGTTAAAAAAAACTAATACAAAAAACATTGTCAGACTATAACAATATAAAACTAAGTATGCATTTGAGCCAAGATTAAAAGAAAGATAGTTATGCAGGGTGGTGGGATTACCGGTGGGTTATTTTTTTTAAGATTCTTTTTGTGCTGATAGATTGCTTTTATAATTTTAAAAGGGATAAATAAAGGGGGGGGGGCACTTAGAACCACAGGGGAGAGGCACCTGGATGGTTCAGTCAGTTGAGCATTTGACTTGATTTAGGCTCCAGACACGATCTCAGGGTCCTGGGATCCAGCCCTGCGTCAGGCTCTGCACTTAGCAGGGAGTCTGCTTGAAGATTCTCTCTCCCTCTCCCTCTGCCCCTCTCCCCACTCCCGGTTCTCTCTCTCTCTCTCAAATAAACAAATCTTCTACAAAATTCAAAAGAAGAACCACAGGGGAGCAGGTGCTAGGGCAGAGGTGTGTCTGTTACCAACCCCTGGGGTCAACAGGCTTGCAGGTTTGGTTTCTTGCCCCCCTTCCAACCCCCAGCAAAACACATCTGTCTGCTTAAGAGTTCTCACAGAAAATGAAAAACACCCACCACTGGGAATATAGCTAATTATGGTAGAGAATCGCAAAGTGAAATACCAATTATCTAAACTAAATACAATTGGCAGAATACCTCTTTGAAATGAGATGTCAGGTTGTCAAGTTCCTGGACACAAATGACTGCCTCCTGGAAACAGGGGCCCATAGGCAAGAGGAACATGCTGGCTATCCAGGAGAGCACTAACATCCCCAAACCAAGTAAACCGCTAGGCAGGCCGATCCTAACTAGAAGGAAATGGCTCTGCGATACCTGCAGTGTAAGTTTCTTTCTTTCCCTCTTCCCCCCTTTTTTTACAATCTGGGGGGGAAAAGATTGAGGGAGAAGGGCAGAATGGATTGGTCTCTTCAAGGGGCTGAGAAAAGCTCATGAGGGAGGAGAGGCAGTAGGTGGTGGTGAGTGCCAGGATTAGCGGGCGCCTCCTACCGCCTAACGTGAAGTCCGGGAGCTCAAGGCAGAGACGAAGGACAGCAGAAGAAAGTAACGCTCTCCACACAGGGCAATCTCAGGGCTTGGCTGAGAATGGTCTGAGAGAAGGCAAGGTATCTTTTGCTAGGAAAATCAGAGCAGGGGAATGCTGTGGCAGCTCAACATCAGCAGCAGGAAAAACCTCTCTAACCTTTGGATCTTAAATACCAAAGCTGACACTTTTAAAAGCCAAAGAGCAAGTCCTATTTTCTATTTACTCATACAGCAGCAATCAATAGCCGTGAATAAGGGACTCATGGTGTATCTGCTTGTATTTCTTTAAACCTTGCTCTAAACCTTGTATCACATGGCTTATAAGTAGAAAAGAGAAATTAATCAAAATGTACCGTTATAAAAGCAAAGGAAGAAACTGTACAGAAAAAGACCACCAATAAAAAGTTCTAGTCATCAAAAACCTGCCAGCACACAGTTAAAACACAAACAACAAACCAACAGAAATATCTGTAACGTGACAGTTCCTCCCATTAATGTCTTTACTCTAGAGAAGGCCCTTACGAAGCAGGAAGTAAAAGATAAGCAGCCCACTAGGAAAATGAGCAAAAGTGGCCAGCACACAATTAAAAAAAGAAACACAAGTGGACAGTGAATACATTAAAAAAAAGTTGCTACCTCACAAGAAATTAGAGAAATACAAATTAAAATAATGAGAAGCCATTTGGGGCTTACCGAATTGACCAAGGTTTTCAAAAAATAATTCCTGGGGGCACCTGGGCACCTGGGTGGCTCAGTCAGTTAAGCGTCTGCCTTTGGCACCTGGGATGGAGTCCCGCGTGGGGCTCCCTGCTCAGCGGGGAGTCTGCTCCTCCCTCTGCCTGCCGCTCCCCCTGCTTGTGCTCACGTGCTTGCTCACTCTCTTTCTCTCTCTCTCGTGCTCTCTCTCAAATAAATAAATAAAATCTTTTAAAAATAATAATAATTCCTGGTATTGGCAGAGATGTGGCAAAGTAAGCATTCCATCTCTTTCTTTCTTTTTTTTAAGTAAGCTTCATGCCCAGCATGGAGCCCAAGGCAGGGCTCAAACTCACGACCCTCAAATCAAGACCTGAGCTGAGATCAAGAGTCAGATGCCTAACCGAGGAGCCAGCCAGGCGCCCCTGCAAAGTAAACATTTTGAAGATAGTATAAATTGATGAACCCTGTCTTAAGAGCAATTTAGCAATGCATACATAAGGCCCAATAACTCCACTTCCAGAAACTTATCCTAAGGAAGTACAGATGCATGTGACAAAGATAATCACTGCAGAATTATTTATAACGAAATTATTTCATAACAAAAAATGAGCCACAACCAAAGTTCCAACAAGAGAAAATTGGTTCAATAAATTATAGTATATTAACACAATTAAATACTAGACATCACTGTAGCACAATATTTATAGCTACGAGAAATGCTCCAGATACAAAGTGGGGGGCGGGGGGAGGATACTGTAGTGTATATACAGTACAATTTCTATTTAAAACAAAAGATTTTTATTATATACAGTGTTTATGAAAAGGGCTAGAGGAACACTCTAAAATCTTAAAAGTATCTCAACAGATGAGATTATTTTCTTTCTTTTATCTGCATTTTCAAACTATTTATTCAAACTCTTTCAAGTTGTACTGCTTATATAATTTTATTAAATTATATTTTTAATACATAAGAAGAAGAAGAAGAAATTAGGAAGGCCAAAAACATTTGAGAAGCTTTTTACAGAGGACTCCAAACATCACTAATATAAGATTCTTAAAGCACATCCAGCATGAGTCAGCAGAGGACCTCCAGCTAGAAAATCAGTGAACTAACTTAACTGGCATAAAAAGTGTAGTCAAAATAAAAAGCTTCAGCACGCCAGTGTCTGCAACCTGTTGCAGGCTGGGAAGCGCACACCTCACACCGCGCTGCCCATGTTGCCAGGGGACAGCATCTGGGACCAGAGCCTGGGTCTGGCCTCTGCCCTGTGTCCACGAAGACCAGCCTAGAAAGCCGGCTCGCCTTGCAGAGCATCAGCAGAGCACACCCTGAAGCATCTGAGCAGACGAGGTCCAGGCATGGTGAGCTCAGCAAGTGATCTGGAGGTGCCTAGTCGCTGGGCAAGGCAGCACCCCAGTCCCTGTCGCCTGGGCGACCCCTGCTGCCACCTAGGCTGCCCCACGGGCGCAGAGAGCGGCACCAGGGCTGACGGGCGGCGCTGTGCCCTCTCCTGATGAGCTTCTCTGCAGGAAGATCTGGACACTGAAAATAGATAGATAGATAGATAGATAGATAGACAGACAGACAGATCGATCGATCGATCCCTATTGTTTACTACAGGATCTACTACTTGCCCAAGAAATGTTATCAAACACTTAAGTAAACATGTCAACAGATGAGGTAGAGGGAGCACCTTAGTTCTGAAAGGACCTCATCAGGCCTCATTAGCCTGTGAGAATTCTTTGAGGGGGTAGGAACAAGAGGATTATGGTAGAACTAGTAGGCAGAATCTCCACTGACTCTAAATGTCAAAATTCCACCAAAAAACTGAATTCCATACAACTTCGGTGACTGCATGTTGTATGCATCTGTGTGTGAGAGAGAGTGTGATTGTCATCTGTGGGGAGCCATGAACAGCAGAGTTTTAAACCCACGGACCAGTTCTGGACTCGAGCTTAATACTTTCATAAAGTACCCAGAATGGTAGCTCCCCTCCCATAAGAGGACCCAACTGTATCCACATATGTGATCCTGATGACCAGCCATTAAAAACACCACTATTGGGACATCTGGGTGGCTCAGTCAGTTGAGCATCCGGTTCTTAATTTCGGCTAGGGTAATGATCTCTGGGTTGTGGGATCAAGCCCCGTGTTGGGCTCCAAGCTGGGCAAGGAGCCTGCTTGGGATTCTCTCTCTCCCTCTCCCTCTGATCCTCCCCCACATTCTCAAAAAAAAAACAAAAACCACCAATACTGGGGTGCCTGGGTGGCTCAGTCGGTTAATATATACATATATAATACATAATAAATACATACATATGTAATAAATAATACATATGTATTACATACATACATACATACATACCACTCTTGAAGGAGGGTCTGCAAAAAAACTAATTTAAAAAGGAGGTCTTGTATCCAAAATGCCTTGAGAACCAATGATCTAGCAGAATATTAGGCTGTAAGCTTCATGAGGGAAGAGGCTTGTCTGTCTCATTCATCACTGCATTCTCCATTAGGTACTCAATAAACATACCGTCAAGCAATAAAGTGAAACCTTCAAGACTGCAAATGGTCTTAAAAGTACTGCAGAAATCAAAATGCAAAATTAAAAGACAATGAGTTCTCAGGAGGCTACATGAATGAGTGAAATTATGGTAAAGGAGCATCAGTGGAGGCCAATGTGAAGAAACATTTAGGGAAAAGCAACCCTAATGACACTTTTAGAATAATGGGTTCTCAGCTACGCTGTTCAGTAAAGAGGCTTGGCCATCAGCCAACGCTGCATGTTTCATCACAAAAGGCCCAGAAAACACTGGGCATTATCTGAAATAATACTAGAAATGAAATACAACTTGTGATCCCGCCCTTACTCAAAACCACCCCGTGTCCACCGCAGGATGTGCTGTTCAGTTTTGGTTCCCTGCACCTTAAGAAAGACATAGTAGCATAGGAAGAGGTCCTAACAGATGACTGAAGTTATAAAGTAGATGGAAGAGCTTTCTAATAAGAGCTTAAAAATTAGAACTCTTTTATTCTGGAGAGATGAAGGTTTAGGGGAGAGGGAGAAGATAACTGACATGTACATTTGTTCACCACACCTCATACCTCAAAATACTAGAGAGGAAAGGGAAGAATTCTGAAGTTTGAAATAAAAGTAGACAAGTAAGAGATAACTTTACCCTTTAGAAAATACACGGAACGGGCACCTGGGTGGCTCAATCAGTTAAGCATCTGCCTTCGGCTCAGGTCATGATCCCAGGGTCCTGGGATCAAGTCCCACATCAGACTCCCTGCTCAGCGGGGAGTCTGCTTCTCTCTCTGCCCCCGCCCCCCTCCCCTGCCTGCTCATGTGCTCTCTCTCTCAAATAAATCTTTAAAAAAAGAAAAAAAAAAGAAAATACACTGAAGTTGTTACAGGTAAAATATATAAATGTAGTAACATCCACACTTGTTTGAATCTAGAAATTTAAAAAAAAAAAAAAGGCTCTGAGGAACTAAGAACAAGGAATTGTCACTAAACCTATGAGCTTCCTTTCCCTCAGCATCAAAGGCTTTGAATTCCAAATAACATTAAACTTGGTCATCTGTTTCCCTTAAGAATATTAAGTTCAGTAACGGCAGATTAATAAAAGTTCAGAAACAGGCCAACAGGGGGACAGAGGCACTCTGAAAACATTAAGAAAAATCTGATCTCTATTCAGTATATTGTTTAATAAGACAAGGAAGCAAACAACATGTTACAGATTTATACAATGAAAGTTAAAGGCGGCAAGATTCAAGGAACACTGGACTGGGAAACCACAAAATTCAGTTTCCTGAATTTGCCACTGCTTGTTGGCTAAAGACTAGCAGGATGGATGGATGTATATTTTACAACCCGAGGGTAAATTCTTTACCCTGCTCCCTCACACAACTGAATATGGCATACGTGTTGATATAATCTGTTCATTCAATAATACGTGTTCAATTATTGTTATACCAGTTAAGAGTGTACAAAGGGGTAAGTGGAAGTTACCCTCAGCTTTCTCTTTTAGAAGGAGAATTCCAGGCGAAAATAGAGTAAAGAGTAAGCCAAGCTGTATGATGCACAGGCAAAGCGAGCGAGTGAGCACATATGCTTACTTAGAAGAAGCTGAGAGTGGAAGAAAATGCCTGAGCTGGTGGCCAGAGGGGGGAACTTCTGTCCCAGGAATGGGAGCTAGGCAAGGGGAAAGAAGGAACAAGGAAGCGAGCAGGCGTGAGAGTAAGCTGCTGCTGCCATTACTCACAGGAGCTTTAGCCGGACTCTGGCTGAGCAATGAGAGAAAGACATTGAGCCCATGGGTGTAGAGAAGGGAGCTCCGTGAAATCAAATGACATGCGGAAAGACCCAGAACGAAGCCCCAGGCCAGGAACAGCGGAGCAAGAAGAGTGAGAACCGGGGAAGCGCAAGAAGGGCTTTCGCCCTGACGCTGTCAGCAAGTACCCATGAGAAGGTCTTGGGCACGCTTCGGTTTATCATGTAAAATTAGACGAACTTGAAGGATCTCTGAATCCTTGAACAGGCCAGGCTACAATGGCTGGGCAAATCGACCTACAACTATGGATTTCTACATAAAACTTAACTCCTAAAGTGGACAAGCGGACTCTCTCCCATACGCCTGGCACTGCCCTCCTGAGTACACACCTGAGGCCTGCTTGTGGGTCTCAGGGGCCCCAGGGCACAGGTGTTCTGAGCCGGTCAGCAGCCGGTGCTTCATTTCACAAGGCACCTGGTACTCTAATAGTCAACAAAGGGCAGCCCAAAGAGACACTCAGCAGTACAAGAAAGCAGGTGCCCCAGTGGACGCTGGACCCAGGCAAAACAGCAAAGCTTTCCACTTGTCTTCTCCTCCATCTGGTCTTAGCCCCCTCCAACGCACACTCTGCCACAGTAGTTGCTGTAAAACATCTATCTGGTCACAGAGACGTCCTCCTCAAGATGCCCGTCCCCTTCGGGAGATAGCTCCACGTCTCCAGCCAGCGTGGAGAGCCCGTTCCCCTCTGGTCTCTGCCCACCCCTCCAGCCACTTCCCCAGGTGCCTTTCACTCACTGGTGACTCTCATAGACTTCCTCTGTGTCAGGGCCTGGGCTGTTCCCCCTGACTACAGAATACCTGATACCCCACCCCATTGGCTCCCAACACAGATCTGCCTGAGAGCTCCTCCTCGGCCCCAAGCTTCTGCTCCAGGGCCCCCTTCTCCGCATGCCTTCTCTGAGTGCCGAGACACCAGTCCCCTGCCCTCCTCCTCCCCCCCCCACTTCTGCTACAGCAGCGATTCCCACAGTGGGACGGGATCCTGAGTTTTCTCATCAGCCTGTAAGCCTCTCCAAAGTTGGGGTCATGTCCTTTACCTCTATTTCTGAGACCTAACACATGTGGTTCCCAAGGGCAAGTAAGCTGTCACTATTCACAGGTCCCTCCCCAAGGGTCCCTCCCAGGACCGTTCTTCAATGCCTCCCCAAACCCCGGCTGGCACACCTGCCCCTGTTTGTCCTGCCCAAGGTGCCCTTCGCCCCCAGAGGCAGCATCTTCTCTCCCCCTCCAGGCCCTTCCACCCCAAGCAAAAACTCCACTTCCCAGGAAGAGAATTATATCGCAAACATTCTAACAAGACTCACAGGATGTTAGAGCTGAAGGGGACCTCAGAAATGATCTGGTCCAGTGGCTTCCAAATACACGTCTGCAGACTGCTCCTGGACTGACTGCAAAAGAACAACATGGGGGGTGACTTTCGAACACAGAACCCCAGACTCCTACTAGGGAACTGAGATTCAACCAGTCTGGGAGGGATCCCTGCATTTTTTTTTTTTTTAAAGATTTTATTTATTTATTTGAGAGAGAGAGAAAGCATGAGGTGGGGAGGGTCAGAGGGAGAAGCAGACTCCTCGCTGAGCAAGGAGCCCGATGCGGGACTCGATCCCGGGACTCCAGGATCATGACCTGAGCCAAAGGCAGTCGCTTAACCAACTGAGCCACCCAGGCGCCCCCCTGCATTTTTTTTAAAGCCTCCCCGTTGATTCCAGTGCACTGGCCTAGTCCAACCTCTTCATTTTACACCTGGAGAACTTGGGCTCAGAAAGGAGAGGGTCGGGGGCACCTGGCTCAGTCAGTGGAGCATGTGACTCTTGATCTCAGCGTTGTGAGTTCGAGCCCACATTGGGTGTAGGGATTACTTAAAAATAAAATCTTAGGAAAAAAAATATTGAGGGGTGCCTGGGTGGCTCAGTTAGTTAATTGTCTGCCTTCGGCTCAGGTTGTGATCCCAGGGTCCTGGGACTGAGCCCCACATCAGGCTCCCTGCTCAGCGGGGAGCCTGCTTCTCCTTCTGCCTCTTGCTTCCCTTGCTTGTGCTCTCCCTCTCTGTCAAATAAATAAAAAAATCTTTAAAAAAAAATATTGAAGGAAGAAAGAGGAGAGAAGGAGGGAGGGAGGGAGGTGGGTGGTTTGCTCATCAATCAAACATTTACCAGATGCCAAGACATGCCTGGCACGGAGGCCACGAAGAGAAGGCCCAGCCCTGCTCCGAGTGCCCCCCACACAACCCAATGCAAACACCTGGCAGCCACACAACTGGGGGTGCCAGAGACGGCTCATCAAGGACACTGGCTTCCTACAGGCAAGGAAGGGAGCGGGACCCTCTCTGGCCGGGGCCACCTCGGTGTGCTCCTTTCTGCTCCCTTTTGATTGCCTTATTCCTCTCAGGGCATAATTTTTACTTTTGTTGTAGTTATTTCAGTAAACTACCCTCTCTTCTGCTGTGTCATAAGCCCCACTTACAGGTACTCCCTAAATTATTGAATTGGTATCCCCTCGATTTTAGATGTGGGTTTCTACGTGGATAGGCATCTCAAACTTAGTTATGTCCAGAGTCCAACTCTCAATTTCCCCCTGCAGCAGGTGACCACTCTGTCCTTCCAGTTGCTTCGGCCACACTCGGCATCCTTGAGTGCTATCTTGCCATCATACCCTAATTCCAACCCAAGAGCAAATCCTGTCAAGTGCTCCTTCAAAATATCTCCAAATGTAACCATTTCCCACCGCCTCCAACCATTGTCATCTCTCTCCTGGGTCCCCGCAAAAGCTTGTCACCCTTGCCTCTGCTGCTCATTCTCAACACAGCAGCCAGAGCGCTACTCTTAAAACACCCATCAGATCACACTCCTCTCCTCGAACACGGCCCCATCTCCTGCAGGGTGAACTCCAGCCTTCGCGCAGGGAGGCCTCCATGGCCTCCGTCTCCCACACCTCTCTCTGTCATCCAGGCAGCTCCGGGCGGGCACAGGCCTCCACCCTGTTCCTCAAGCGTGCCCCTGCTCAGAGCCTTTGAGTCTACTGTTCCCTCTGCTTGGAATGTCCTTCCCCTCAGATCTCCAGGGGCTCACGCATCGCTGCCAGCAGGTCTTTACTCAATGTCCCTTTGTCAGGAGCCTTCCATGATCGGTGTATGTAACATGCCAATCCCCACCCACCCTCACCGTCATTCTCAGTCCTTTACTTGCCTTCTCTTCAAAGCCCTTCCCACCACCTGACATGTTATGTAATTGCTCATGTCTCCACTGTCTCTGTGTAAGCTCCGGTGTGTTTATTAAAAGGTAATCCACCATTAGAAAGGGGGAATGGGTTGACAGGCTCACCTGTCCAGAACTAAGTTTGCTCAAGGATAGTCACAGATTCCTAAGCAGGTTTATTACTAGTAAAGCAGTTGGCAAGTTTGCAACATAATTTGTGTTTCACTTTTTAAAACTTTTTATGAGCACAGAGACCTTGCGTGGTAATGGGGCTTAGTAGCACTTGTCTGTGCGTCCTGGGCTCCTGCAGGGCTACGTTCAACACGGGACCGGTGGAAAGTGCCGACTGGCCAATGTCCCCACAATAAGGTCATCCGTCTTGAGTCTTGAGGATGGGATCCGTGTGACACCAGCAGAGAGGGAGGGCTACCTCCAAGAACCACAGGGAAGAGCAGGGCACAGAGCAGTCTTCAGTCTTAAGAAGAGGGGATATGACTCTGAATATGCTAAAAACCACTGAATTGTGTGCTTAAATGGGTGAATTGCGTGGCATATGAATTTTATCTCAATAAAGCTGTTATTTTTAAAGATAAAAAGAAGAGGGGATAAAAGGGGAGGGAGCTGGGATTAGGCGGCACTGGTCAGCTGACTGAGAGGATACACAGGGAAACTAGGTATGGGCAACAAAGTTTAAACAGAGCTGAGAACCGAGACAAAAACTGATACTCTGTAACCGGCACCCCCTTTCCCTTTCCTTACGTGCAAACAGACCTTAGTACTCACTGGGCACCGCATTTTGTTAGAAAGGAACAGAACCCAGAGACTAAGAAGAAAGAGGGGCAGGACTCCTCTCCGTTCACACAGCATCCTCAAGGAGTCCCTCCCACGGAGTTTTATAAAATCATCATCTCCTGGTAGTAGAGACACCCAAATTTAAGCAAAAAGCCAGTAGCTTCAGACTTGCTGGGAACCAAGCCTCCACTCTCTGAACAAAAGGGCCCCAGAAAAGAAAAAGTAGCCATTCCACAGGATTGCTTTTTCCTCATGTCTGGTACCCATGTGTTTGGTGGCTCTGTGTCACTGGTCTCACCTACCACTGGCAAACTACAGTGCCAAAGATTCCAAAATCGAAAGGTTTTGGGGGGGGGGGGAGGGCAGGGAACATGCTATTACTCTTAGGGTACCCTGTGGTTCCCTGACATCACTCTATCTCACATACACATGTTCTCCCTCACCCCTTCTTCCTCCCTCTTCTCTCTTTCCCCTCTCAACAGAGATTGGGTGGCCTCTCTCAGCATGGCTACTCAGCCCTAAGGGCAGTCAGCCTCCTTCAGGGAAGCAAGGCACCAGCCAAGGCGGCTTTTCACCAACCACAGGGTATGGCAACAGATCCAACATCCAGGGGTCCGCCTGTGTGCCCAAGGGCATGACAGGGAATAAGGAATCTAAAGAAACACCCCATGTGCCCTTCTACCATCAGACAAAATGGAATATTAAAATTGCTTATCTTTTTAAGACACAAAGTAAAATATTTACAGATAAAATGATACTGGGGTGCCTGGGTGGCTCAGTCAGTTAGTTAAGTGTCCGACTCTCGGTTTCAGCTCAGGTCATGATCTCAGGATCATGAGATCGAGTCTGGTGTTGGACTTCACGGTCAGCATGGCATCTGCTTGAGATTCTCTCCCTCTACCTCTGCCCCTCCCCTGCCTTGCACTCACTCTCCCTTTCTCAAATGAATAAATAAAATCTTTAAAAATAAATAAATAATAAAAATGATGTGATGTTTGGGATTTGCCTCAAAATGACACTAAGCAGGAGGAAGAGATCAAGAAGGGTGTTTATAAGTGAAACAAGATTAGCCACGAATTAGTAACTATTGGATGTGGGTGAGGAGTACATGGGGGTTTATCCCATTATTTTCTCTACATGTGTATATTTCAGCACTCTCGGGACTGGACCCTTGGTTAGTGGCTTCTGTGAGTCCAACTAGATAACCACCAAGGTCACACCCATTAGGATAGCTATTATAAACAACAACAACAACAACAACACCCCAGAAAATCACAAGTGTTGGTGAAGATGTGGAGAAATCAGACTCCTGTGCACTGTTGGTAGGAACATAACATGGTGCAGCCACTATGGAAAACAGTATGGGAGTTCCTAATGAAAATTAAACCTACAATCACCATCTGATCTAGCAATTTCACTTCTGGGTATATACCCAAAAGAACTGAAAGCAGGGTCTCAAAGAGTACTTTTTATACACATGTTCCTAGTAGCATTATTCATAATACCCAAAAGATGAAAGCAACCCAAGTGTCCATCAACAGATGAATGGATAAACAAAATGTGATACAAATAAACAATGGAATATTATTCAGCCTTAAACAAGGACAAAGGTCCAATACACGCTACAGCATGGATGAGCCTTGAGGACATTATGCTGAGTGAAATACGCCAGGTGTAAAGGACAAATACTGTATGATTCCACCTAGGAATCCAGGTACCTGGGGGGGTCAAATGCAGAGAGTAAGAAAGCATAACAGTGGTTACCAGGGGTTAAGGGGGAGAAAGGATAGGGAGTTAGTGTTTGATGGGTACAGAGTGTCAGTTTGGGGTGATGGAAAGATTCTGGATGGTGGTGATGATTGTACAACTGTGCATGTACTTAATGCCACTGAACAATACACTTAAAAATGCTTAAAATGGTCAATTTTGTTATGTATATTTTGCCACAATTAAAAAAAAAAAAAGGCACCAAGGAACATAAAGACATCACTTGTGTCTCAAGGCCAGCTCAGGTCAGCCTAGACATCATACCTCAGAGAGGTTCTCAAAACAAGGGTGTGGTGAGCGTTGCTGGGGGTGTAGAGCTATGGAGAAAGGAATGACATCTACCTAGGCACATGGTCTAGTTTCCAAACACCACCTAAGGAAAGAAGAAAAATAAAACATTTTTTAATAGGCCTGCAGGTAAATGTCTAAGTAAGTTAACGTAAAAATCACAATAATAAAAGTACACGTCAGACCCTGAGAAAATCTCCAAACACAAAATCAAAGCCCCAGATTCAAGGCCCCAGAACATCTCCCCCTCCCTGTCATGGTGTGGTGGTTCAAATCCCAGCTCCACTACTCGCTAGCCATTTGACCTTACGGGTCTTTCTTCACCTCTGCGTCTGTTTCTCCATGTGTAAAATGGGGCTGTTGTAGGGATTCAATGATTTAATATTTGTAAAGTTCTTACAACACTGCCTTCAACATAGCAAACGCATGTGTTAAGCATTATGCCACCAACCTCAGTAGCCAGCAGGCTTTACCTCCTAGTTTTCCAGCAGACTGCTGAATCCCTAAATGTCAGGCTGGTTGGAAGCATGCACAGGGGACAGAGACAAGGTTGCCCTCCACACAGCTCAGGAGGCCTGCTGAACCAAAGGAAGCAGAGGGCCGGGTAAGCTGGGGAAAGTCACATGAGGGGAGACAGGAAAGGGACAAGCACTGAGCAGGGGATAAGAATGAGAGAAGATACAGAAAAGCTGGCAGAACCCATTTTTTAAAACTAGGTGATCTTCACTGTAGCTGAGCACCAGCATCACCTCAGGAACTTTGGAAAACTACTCCTGCTTGGCCACAGCGCCCCAAGATTCGGGTTTAATTGGCCAGCGCGGAGAAACTGGTTAATGGCCCATCAGGTCTGTGTGCCCAAAAATGATGGAATGAAAAGGCACATTTCAAATTCTGCTCACGCTTACTCTAATTCTGCATTCCCTCATTTGACTTCATTTCTGTCTTAACTTAGAGAGACCAGCATTTAGTTTGGATTCAAAATACAGATAGAGACAGTATGAATGGAAAAATTTTAAAGGGAAGGGAAGGAAACTCATTATCCCAATTCTACAGAAGAGAAAAAGAAAAACTGCTTTCCCCTAAACTTTCTCTTCTTCTTACTGGACCATCACATTTCAAAACACAAACTAAGACCCAGACACCGTGCTGTCCCAATGAGGACAAAAATCAGAGACCCAGGTGCCAGGCAGAGGGGTGTTTTACATCTGATGTCCTGGGTGAGTTAGTTCTGAGGTGCTCCAGAATGTGCCTGGTTATTTATTCCAGGTTAACCTTAGTTCCTGCAGCCACTGGATTCCGTCAGGTTATTCAAACTGCCTCTTGTCCCCAATAAGACGGCTTGGCTGCAGAGAGGGGCTGGCAAACCTGAGCATCGGGCTTCGCTGACCCAGGCTGCCTGCTTCTCCCCGGCCACCCTACCACGCGTGGGTTTACAGAAGCTTTACATTTTATAAAACACGATTCCCACTTCGCAAGGAACTCGCCCCAGTGAGTGGCAGAGCCAAGACGAATGCCCAGGCTCCCACCTGCCTCTGAGGACCAAGCTAGGGGTTCCACTAGGAGCTCTGAACCGGGAGGCCCGATGGTACACACTTCAGGCTTCCAACACCCTCCTCTTCCCGGGCTGCTACTGGAGATGGCCCACATCTTCCTTCAATTTGCTGTTGAGACATTCATTACAGCCCTTTTGCCATAGTATGACGTACCTTAGGGTGTTCTAAGACCAGCATCAGTAAACAGTGTCCTAGAACGCTGTTCTGACTGAGAGATTCTTCCAACACCAGAAAGATGAAGAACCGTCAGAGCCAAAGAGACTCTAGGAAACCATTAAATTTAAGCCACTCACTCCACGAGCAAGGAAACGGAGGCCCAGAGAAGTGAGGAAGTCAAATGAGATAAAGCACATAAATGTTACACGAAAGATGCCTGTTATTCCTGGCAAGGTGACCAGCCCTGCCTTAGCCTTCCCAGAGGGGCTGAATGAAGTCTCTTACTCACAGTTACCCATTCAAATGTCCCCATAGTACCGGGTACAAGGCTTATTTAATCCTCAGATGAGTGATCCTAGCCCTGGATGTACATTAGGAAGAGTTCGGGAGCAGTCCTAACGCCTAACCCCACCTCAGACCAATTAAATCAGACTCTTTAGGGGTGAGGCCAGGCATTTTTTAAAACCACCACAGGTGACGGGTATTTCTGGGGCTGAGAACCATGGTCTGTAGACCAAAGTGTGGTCCAGGGACCACTGGCCTCAAAAATCACCCAAAAAGCTTGCTAACCATGCAGACTCCTGGGCCTCCCTGGAAACTGACTACATAGCAGTGGGGTGAACCCAGGCATCTGAAGCTGTGACAGTTACCTGCTGGTTATGGAACAATGGTATTGGCACTGAACGAGTCCCAGAAATGGCACCTGTGCTCCAGGTGGCCCCGGAGTCCTGGATGGCCCAAGCAGCTGGCCCAAGAGAGGCTCCCAGATGATTCAGAGTCCCATGCCCACTCTCACCCAAAAGTCGCTGCAGAAGCCCCTCGGCATGGCCAGCCTCGAAGGCAACCCTTCCAGGAAGGAGGCAGAGCAGAGCTACCGGGGGGGCTTCCCATCTCATTCGGGTCCCCACCAGGACTTACGAGCCCAGGCCTCCTCTCCTGTAGTTCCCCCGTCTCACTCTGGCCCCGGCCACACTGACCTCCTTGCTGTTCCCAAAACTCCTCAAGCTTTCTCTTGCTTCAAGGACTTTGTCTCATGCTCTTCTCTCCACCCCGAGGGCCCTTCCCTCAGATATCTACATGGCTCCCTCTCTCCTGCAGATCTCTGCTTAAATGTCTTTTTATCAGTGAAACTTCCCTAACTTCCATATTTAAAATAGAAAATCTGCCTCCCCACCAAACCTTCCTATCCTCCATCCCTGCTTTGGTTTTCTCCGCCATACTTTATATTTTGCTTGTTATCTATAAGCCTACATACTAGAATATGAGTTCCATGAAGGTTAAGATTTTTGTTTCCTGTTATATTCCCTAAAGGGGAAGGCAGTGATTTGGTCTTTGAGGCAGGTGAAGAAGCACCTGCGGAAATATAAAATCAGTGGATTTGGTCTAGTGCCTAAAATAGTGCCTGGCACACAGCAAACACTCAAATACTTATTCTAGGAATGAATACATCAGAAACACCAATCGCAACACATAGCTTGTACCAAAAGATCACAAGGAAGAAGCTGATTATACCCAAATCACTGCTCCACTGATCTCATCTTGGCAAAAGCCTTTTTAAAAACAGGCTAGAAGCCTAATGAAACAGAAACCATTTAGAAATAAGTATTTCCAGTCAATTAACCGAATCCAAATGGGTTTGTGAGTCAAAGACGATTTGTTTTGAGAAACAGATAAAACTATGGAGACAGAAAATGAAGTTGAAAGAAGGTGATCAGGGGTGCCCGGGTGGCTCAGTCAGTTGGGCGTCTGCCTTCGGCTCAGGTCATGATCCCAGGGTCCTGGGATCGAGCCCTGCATCAGGCTCCCTGCTCAGCAGGGACTCCTCCCTCTCCCTCTGCTCCTGCACTCTTTCTCTCTCAAATAAATAAATAAAATCTTAAAAAAAAAAGAAGGTGATCAAACAAATGGATTTCAGATACTGTCCTGGCATGTGTGTAGGTTCAAAAGAAAATCCAGAGCACTGACAGCTACTCTCAGACAGGGAACAGTTTTCAGCAGGCCAGAAAGAAGAGAAAGGCTCTGATCCTGGGTTACAGTCTGTGAACACAGGCCCAGTGCAGGATATGACCACACGCTTACCACCAGACCCACCAACCTAATAAGCCTAAGGAGAACCCTTCCTTTCCCCTTTCTCCCACTTACACCCCACCTGCCTCCAAAACTTATTGGAAGCCACAGACAACACTTGAGCTCTACCAAGTTGGGAGTGCTAGAAGCCTCTGTTGAGGTAGCCACACAGAAGTTGGGGAGCATCCTGCCACGACACAGTCTCACTCATGTCCTCTGTTCCACATCCTTGTTGCCTCTCTCCTCCCCACCTCAGTCTCTCCCCCACGGTCATCCTCGTATCTCCTGGAGACCAGTCTCCCCCAAACACCACTTTCATCAAGTCACTCACTTTTCTCAAAACCCTAAAGCGGTTTCCTATCACCTACCACAGCTCCCACCCTCGGGCCAGGCTTTTGAGAACTTCCATGCTCTAGACCTAGACCAAGTCCACTGATTTTATATTTCCGCAGGTGCTTCTTCACCTGCCTCAAAGACCAAATCACTGCCTCCCCCTTCAATGCACCAGTAAGAGGTAAGATTGTAGCAACTGGGACACACTGGACCATGTCTCCAATCTCCGTTCCTGCCAAGATCGTCCCCGCTCTCCACACCATCCACACCCATTCTTGCCCCACCAGCTCCTAGCCACTGTCCTTTCCCCCTCCATTGCCACAAACACACACACTGCACTCACGCATGCACCTCCATTCATTCACTCAGTGACTGAGCACCTACTATGGGCCAGGTCCCCGCCCCTATGGTGCGGACATTCCACTGGAGGGAGACACACAGTCACAAACAAGCAGATTCAGGACAAGTCATAGAGCTTTCCTCAACAGGAGCTTCTCAACTGAAATCAGAAATTGGGGTGACTACTTTTTCAATTCTGATGCAAGTGAGAGAGCAAGCCATGTGAACATGGGGGAGTAGAGGTTTCAGGCAGAGGGAAGAGCAAGCAGGAAAGCGCCAAAAGAACCCAACCCGGAGTAGAAGGATTCAGAGGAGATGGGGTAGGAAGCAGATAATGGAGGGCCACCACAAGGACTGACGTTTACTCATGGACAGAAGGCTTCAGGAGGACTGGAGAGGACTGACACCCTCTAACTTACACTGTCCAAGAATCACTCCCCTCTGCCTATGCACTTCAGCCCTCTATCACGAGGTATAAAATTAGGAGGGATTTTTCTTCTTGAATGTTCCAAAATTTTCCAAAGTAAGCATATGTTATTTTTGAAATGAAGAGGGAAACACACACACACACACACACACACACACACACACACACACACACACACTTACCAACCTTGTAAGAGTCAGCCGAAATTCC